GATGCATCACTTAAGTCGGTCAAAAACCGGTCTTTATTATAGTAGGAAAAGTCGTATTTCTGAACATGATTATCTGTCTGAAACACGTGATTAAGACGTTCAATGACACCAAATATGGGGTAGTGGTCAGTAATATCGGTTTGAATAGTACCGCAATCGAAGAAATAATTTGCAATTATTACTGCAATTATTCACAATCAGTTATCATTGATGACAGATTTCAGAGATTTTTTTAAACAAGGGAACAGGGGCGTGGCGCCATCATGCCACGGCCATGCACCCCTTTGCCCTGGGGAGCAGATCCTCTGGCAACCATAAAATTCTGATTGACCAGGGATCACATGTGGCCACAGTCTTCAGCTGTGATCTGTCTGATAGTAATTTTGGCCCCAAGGAAGCATAGAATGCTCCATTTTAACTTAGAATTATCAAAAACTCCACACCCTGGTAGAGAGAATCCTATCTCCCCCACTTGGTGGCGCCACTGAATTGCAGTGCTTTCTCTTGCAGTTTTTTTTCTAGAAAAACTGGGTTTTGTAAGATTGAATTTTACAATGGGCTAAAAACTGTTGTACTTACCTTGAAAATACCAAGAGAAGCAAAGAATTTAGTGTTGGCTTCTATGTTCATCAGTCTGTTTCTTTCATATGCAGACATCTCTCCTTGTTTCCCCTAAGAACATCACAACAAACATTTAGAAAATTTTTGAAAGGCCACATTTTGATGTATTTTTCTATCATTTTTTTTTTACTTTTGGAGCAAGTGGACATGATTTTCTATTGACTACAAGCATTGAACAAGATCTTTTGAAAAATATGTATTTTTTTCTGCAAATGGTGAGAAATGTTGACTTTGGCCTTCAAAGTTTTTCAGTACGGTCCATTTATTTAGATTTAGCTGGCATAAAACACAGTTGACTTTCAATACCACTTATACATGTATCTAAATTGTGTTTAAATTTATATTGGTAACATAGATATATACTACCAAGAATATTAGGTTCAAATTATTGAGAATGATGACATTTTAAAAAATTTTGATAAAAAGGCAAAGTAAGCTGAAAGCCCACTCTAATGTTAATTTATGCATAGACTGTACTTTGTAAGTGCAACATATTTTTTCATGCACAAAATTACACTCAATATTCACAGGGTGACTGTGAGTAGAGATTTAACATCTGAATACCAGACTTTTTCAATCTTCCATGAAAATAAAATGTTGATCAAGACATGTAAGTATTTGTGAATTATGTCAATTTGATTTGAAATTTAAATTTAAAAAAAATACACACACAAAATATACCGGTATGGAAACATTGGACCAAAA